GTCTTTGTTAGTTTGTATGACTGACTTGTTTCCACTCGTTATATAACCAATTCAGTCTTTGTTAGTTTGTATGACTGACTTGTTTCCACTCGTTATATAACCAATTCAGTCTTTGTTAGTTTGTATGGCCAACTTATTTCCTATCATTATATAACCAATTCAGTCTTTGTTAGTTTGTATGACTGAATTATTTCCTCTCATTATATAACCAATTCAGTCGTTTTTAGTTTGTATGACTGACTTGTTTCCAACCGCTTCAGTCTTCGTTAGTTTGTATGGCCAAATTATTTCCTCTCATTATATAACCGCATCAGTCTTTGTTAGTTTGTATGGCCAAATTATTTCCTCTCATTATATAACCAATTCAGTCTTTGTTAGTTTGTATGACATGATTATTTCCTCTGATTATATAACCGCTTCATTATTTTCTCTCACTATATAACTCTTCTGTCTTTGTAAATTTGTATGAGAATGTTTTTTGTTTTTTTACCAAAACACTTTTAGAGTACAATAAACTTCTGTAATTGCAAGAAAGCACAGGAGCTAATTCTAAGCTTGTTTTACGGCGTTAGTCTATAAGTTTCGAATAACACCGCTGTATTGACAAGAAATTACAGAAGTTAATTCTAGATATTGTTTTACGGCGTCAATGTTTAAGTCGTCTCCACGTGATTGTAATGAAGAAAGTCAGTTTTATATTTCAACAAGTTAACTATTCGGCTCGTTAGATGGCGCCAGTTGACAATTTTAATCAAAATTGTATTTGTTTTCTTTAGTTTAATATGGTGCAACTGTATTTATCACTACGATAACCGTCGTGTAAAGCATAAATATGAAAGTACATCTCAAAGTATAGTTACGGTTGGGGTCATTTCTACCAACTTTCACACACAATCCCACTTTTTTTGTTTTGCAACTTTCAACGCCTTAATTAAATGAAACTTTGAATAAACTTAAATTACATAATTCTTTATAAACATTTGTTACCCCTTGTTTTGAATGGAACTTTTCTATGTAAAGATCAGTGTAAGAAAATGCATAGTGCTTACAAATATTAATTGCCGAACACTAACGTTTCTTAATGTATAACTAATATAACTGGATCAGATGTACGACAGATCAAGGCGTAGTTTGTTTTTTACCTCTCTTTTTTTTTTTTTCATATCTACACACACACATTTTTTCCCAATTCCGACAGAGAGTTGGAAGCTGTTCACTTTTCAGGCGATATTATCACTAGTTTTCTTCGCCTTTCGGTATACTAAACTGTTATAAATGTATATAAGCTCATATTAGTTACAAAACCCCAAACCTTGACCAGATGAGAAGAGGGGTTTAGAACAATGTCGACTCTCCCGTACGTTCAAGTACTTAGTTGCCATTGTTGCTTAGTGTCATAATTTGAAGGGCCGTGAGTGTGCTATATGGGTGACAGACAAATCTCATTAATAGGTCAGACGAAAGTTGACGGTGAATGCTATAGTCTAGCTGCCTTCGTTGTAGTCTGTCTGTTCAAAATTAGGGTCGGCTATGCACAGATAACTCATTGTGTGGTTTTGCACACAAAAATAAATTATTCTGTCTTCTTTAAAACCTGTAACGGTCTAATTGTCTAAAGTGAGTTTTAAAAAGTTATTATACTTTGACAACCACAGAAATCCAAAGTGTGACTTTCAAACTATTGAAATACAGAGTTGATAACTTACGAAACACAGTAAAGAAATATTAATGAACAATACAATATATAAATACAGGTTAATAATTATTTCATTAAATAAAGGGTTTTTATTCACTTCTTAGATCACGAGATTACAAATAATGTCATTTTAATATACATAATCCTGTGCAAAATATCTGTACGTATTTTACATGTTATTGTGCAACATTAATAATATTTGTTCTTCACCTCTCATAATACATACAAAATACTCAAACGTAATCATCTAGAAGGTGAATTAGTGTTTTAAATCTAACTAAAAATTCATAGATCAACTAAAAGATAGAAGAAATAAACAATCATAGCCAAATAAAAACAGAATTCGCTATCTCAGAAACCAAATCGGCATAAATATGCGGATGCCTTAAACACCACACTAAGCTGTTTTTCACACCTAAAGCGACATTTAGCTCCATTGATTGATAGATTTATTCTTCTCTATATAAATGCCCCCCAGTGGCACAGCGGTATGTCTGCGGACTTACAACGCTAGAAACCGGGTTTCGATACCCGTGGTGGGCAGAGCACAGATAGCCCTTGTGTAGCTTTGTGCATAATTAAAAACAAACAAACTATATAAATAAACGTCAATATGTGTGTGTGTGTCTGTACCTTATACGTTTCCACATATCTTGATCAATCGGTACCAAACTTGATACAGGATGCATGAGGGGGCGTTGGACTCCCATGTAACTTCATATTGATAGAACTCTTGAAAACAGTATGTCTTCCTTTTCAGCATTGGTACCTCTATGTATTTTTATTGCACTTTTAATGTTTATTATGTTAAGAAAAAAATAGAAGCACAATTTCCTATAGCTAGTGTAACGTAAATGTAAAGAATTGTAAATAACAGTCTCCTTGGAGATTTGTAACTTCATTCATGGGCGTCCGCAAGGATGTATTACAGAGGGTATTATAAAAGGAAACGCAAAATTTATAAACCAGGGGATAAGTGCCTTCGTTTCAATAGATTAAATGGGCCAATTGTTTAAGTAAATTGAAGAGCTTAAGTTACACGAGCCAAGATGCACTGAATTTAGAGAGATTGTGTATTATCACTGTATCTGGATTGAAATTAAATGTTTCATATTAAACATTAATGTAAAATGCCAAAACTTTACGGAACATCTAAAAGACTGGAGTTCCTTAACTTTACTTAGACTGTGTGCGTAAAATAATAAAATATTACTCGGTCATCTTGTTTATTCGAAACATTTCCTAGAAATCACTACAACATCGAGACAATTTCCCTCTATTCATTGGATCGTGCGAAGCCTATTGTTAGCGTCCGGGCTGCTTATTAGAAGATTCAAATTTCTAGCCACGATACCGAGTACGCTTTGCACTTTCAACTGTAGGAGTATTATTAGTGTGACAGTTAATTCGGCTAAGAGAAGCGCGAAGTTGGCGGGTGCCATGGACTGGTTGTCATCCATCTACTCAGAATTTCTAAATTAAATATGACTGTACCTGAGCGTTAGAGATTTCCTATCCGATCATTTTAGCCTAAGGTGCCGTTCAGGTTGGAAATACCCTCTATTCGAAGCCTTTTTCCTTAGAAATATCTACAACAAAAAAGACGATTTTCTTTCTCTTTAATTATTACATAAAATGAAGTACGTTTCAAAATAACAAGAATATCATTCTAAAAAAACTTTAATCTATTATAAGTGCGTCAAATGTCAGCTTAAAGGTAGAGATTGGGTTATTTTTTCTTAATACAATGCTTTTATCAACAGCCATCACTAGTTACTTCCTATGTTGTCAATAGATGGCAGCCCTATTGTACGAAAAATCTTATTGAATCTCAACTATCCAGTTAAACGTATCAAACATGAAAGCTCTTTAGAAGTATCAGGAAAACTAAAGCTTTTTGAAGAAATTTAGGTTATGATTACTATGTTGTTGTTATTGTTTTTTAAGCTATTAACACAAAGATTTATAACGTTTACTGTCTTATATTGATTTGGAAAGTAACGACTGAGTATTTTTTACCGCAGACTTACACAGAAATTCAGTTCAATAGATATGAATAAAAGTAACTTAATATGGGATTTAAAGAATGTAATCTTTTCAATTATTGGTCGTATCATTCATAAAAGTGTTCCTTTATAAGGTAAAACCCCACGTAACATCTGATTGTAAGAATGTTATATTCTCAATTATTGGGCGGATTATCCAGGAAGGTATTGCTGTCAATTCATAACCAATGTACGTAAGATCAAAAGCTTAGATTACACTTTAGTTCCATCTCTCGTGGTTGCAAATGTGTGGTTTTCATATTTAGTAAACATGTGCTTAGATTTAGAATGACGTTTCAGTTTCCTCGTTCGTTGATCACGCTCAGACTGATGGCCACGATCATGTTCTACAGC